AGACCTATGCATATATTGTGTAGAGTGATTTGATTTTGAGGTGTAATACTACACATACTACATAGTATGCATGTACAGTGCAAGTGGCGGCGATGAAGTTCGGACCGAAGAAGATCTTAAAGTTTTCCTCCGGTATTTTCAGGAACCGAGCGGGTGTTTTCCGTACGGACTGTACGGAGTAGTTACTACTCTGTAAGTTACGGACTACTAGTGTCGCCACTCTCGGAGTGGCGGATTCTGCATCTTTTCCTGATCTTACGTTCTTTATCTGATAGCAAATCCACCTTTACGCCCCTCCCTCCTTCTCCTGTTGTTAATGATCTCCTCCCTTTTATTTTGCTTGTGAATGCACACATACTATCAGATATTTCTTTGCCTTACCTTAAAGTCTGATCTTATTGTGGGTCTGCCTGCAGACTTCATCTCGGATTTCTGTGTCCTAATATGGCTCCCTCGTTAGGATTCTGGGAGTCAGCAGGCGAAGGCCAAACATCTACTATAAGTCACGATGCTACTTCATATGGAATCCCACCCAAGAACATATTGTACATTGATGCATATGACTCCTTTTCTTACAATGTCGTTGCCATGCTGGAAGAAGTTCTCAAGGCCACGGTCACAGTCCTGAGAATTGACTCATCATGGCCCAATGGTAACATGGCCGACTATGTGCAGCGTTTCGAGGCCGTCGTTCTTGGACCTGGTCCGGGCGATCCCCATATCCCTCAAGACGTGGGGATCATGAGAGACATCTGGAACCTGGATAGCAGAAACCAACTACCTATTTTTGGAATCTGTCTTGGCTTCCAGAGTTTATGTTTACACCACGGGGCTTCGATTCGTCGACTTCCATACCCCATTCATGGGCAGGTGCGTCGCGTTCAGACGGCACAGGAGGACATCTTCCGAGATGTTCAGGAGCTGGAAGTCACGCTGTACCACTCGCTGTACGCTGAAATGAAGCCAACCGTGTCCGTTGACGGTCACCGCAACGGGTTTGTTGCGCAAGATCTGGATCTCCTTGCCTGGTTGTCCCTTGAGCAAGACGGCGCATCCCATCAGACACGAATTCCAATGGCTGTTCGCCATAGGAAGAAGCCATTCTGGGCCGTTCAATTTCACCCGGAATCCTGCAAGTCGGATAGAAAAGCATGCAGTGAACTGCTCAAAAAGTGGTGGGATGCGGCTCTCCGATACAACAAACTGAACGGACGAGGCAGCTACAGCAACATGTCAATTGCCGCTCCTAGGTCATCCGGTGACTTGCCATCTATCCCGGACATTGTCCATACTATGTTAAAGTGGAGTGCATCAACGTCGAGTCACTCCTCCTTTCGAACTTTCCAGTCCCAGCAATTAGGAGTCGAAACAATTTGCGAGGCTCTCAACAGTCCCGGGTCAGCAGCTGTCGTTTTCAAGTCCAACGGCCGGCACAGCATCATATCTGTACCTAGCTACAGCACTTGGAGGCTCGAATACCATGCGCAGAACAAACGTCTGCTCTTAGAAAAGTTATCAATCGGCAGCGCAAAGAGCTCAACCAGCGATCACCAAACCACCATCGAGGATCGCTTGTCAGTATCTCGGTTTTGGAACGCACTTCAGTTTCTCATGGATGCCAAAAAAGTACTTACGGGCGATGACACGGTCCCATTTTGGGCCGGCTTTCTGGGTTACTTTTCTTATGAAATGGGACTGGCTTCCATTGCCCGTCCAAAAAGCCACGAACAGGACTTCCAAGGGACGCATGCCTCGGGAGCCGGTGGTCCCTCGAGCGATCCTGCAGATGCCAGCCTGTTATGGACTGAAAGGAGCGTGGTCGTTGATCATCACACGGGCCGCGTCACTATTCAGTCTACTTGTGCGACAGATGATTTGGCCAATGGATGGCTAGATGAGACACTGTCGTCTCTTCAAATGCTTGCCACTTCTGACAAAATCGCTGAAACCGAAGGTACGATGACAGAGTCACAATCTTTGGATCGCATTCTTGAGCAGGGTGTGGTCCGATTTCCGGATCGTCAAATCTACCAGGACCAATTCGACGCCTGTCGTGCACAACTCCTAGCTGGCGAATCGTACGAACTATGTCTTACTTGTGAGACTACCATATCATTGCCCTCAGCAGAAAGCAATAGTGGCCGCAAGGAGTTTCCTTGGAAACTGTACCGGCGCCTTCAGAAACATAATCCTGCCGCCTTCAGTGCTTATGCCAGACTAGGAAACCTCAAGATTGTCAGCAGCAGCCCTGAATGTTTCCTTAACTGGGACCGACATTCTCGGTTGGAGATGAAACCAATGAAAGGAACTGTGAGGAAGACGAACGACATGACTCTTGAAAAGGCGCGCGAAATCCTGGGCACGACCAAAGAGATGGCAGAGAACCTCATGATTGCCGATCTCATCCGACACGACCTCTATGGTATCTGTGGCTCGGGAGGGGTTCATGTGGAAAAGCTTCTCGAGGTAGAAGACCATGGGCGCGTCTATCAAATGATCACACATGTCATAGGAGAGGTCGACCCCAATCGACCTGGCTTTGCGACTCAAGATATGCCACAACTACAGTCATACGGAATGTCAGCATATGGCCTCACAGCGCTGCAACAATGTCTCCCACCTGGCTCTATGACCGGTGCGCCGAAGGAACGGTCATGCTTGCACCTTTGCTCGATTGAAGATCGAAAGCGGGGAGTCTATTCTGGTGCAATGGGGTTTCTTGACCTCGGTGGTGGAGGGAGCTTCTCGGTTCTGATACGCACCGCCTTCACTTGTGCTAGCGACGATGATGCCAACCAGGTCTGGCGCATCGGCGCAGGCGGCGCAGTCACCATTCTTAGCACTGCTGAGGGCGAATGGGAGGAAATGTTAACCAAGTTGAGAACAGTTCTTGGTGCATTCGTGCCGCTTGATTGCCGGTCCGTAAAGAATGACTAGCAGGCCTCATTGCCCTTTACCTTCTTACCATACATTGTTTTACTTTGATTGATTGCAGAAGAGACGTTGCAAAAAATCGCATTCAACATCTACCATATACGGTGCGGCGTTTGGTTTTGCGTCTCGGGCAGGCGATGCCCGCAGCTTTGGCGGATTTGTTTTCACACTGATTCTATTCAACAAGATACCCTACTAGCATGTTGCGATTCGATTACAACACGAGGATTTTCCTTAGAATCTCTTACAATATCTCTTTCCATCCACACCTGCCTCATTGTAGTTGTAGCCTTTTTATTATTTACCGTACAGTACAGTGCATTCAGCGACTGATCGACGTTGGATGCAAACACGCCAAACATCGTCACCTCCGCGGAGAGTTGCCTCGAACGATCTCTCCAGCTTCGTTCTCTGTTACTTCTTTGACACCGATAGAGTCTCGTAGCACATCTATTTTATAGCTTCGCAAAACTCCAAGAACCATATAAAACCTGTGCGAGCTCACCGAACATCATGGCCACCGCACCCGAGTCCTCGCTGGAGGAGATTCTATGGCGATCCCCGCCGCACGTGCAGATGATGGGAGGCTATCTCCATTCGAACAACAGTATGACTTCGTACCCGGCAGGCAGAGGATGTACCTTCGCACTATCTATACTAACCATCTCTCCAATGACTAGTTCTCTTCTACTTTGCCGAATCCCCCTTCTTTGATCCCACATCCAACAATGCCTCCCTCGCCATCCAAGCCAACTACAACGAAGCCTTCCGGCAATTCATCGAGACCCGCGAGGCCTTCGAAGGCCGGCTCGCCACCATGCAGGGCCTGGAATTCATTGTCTCCTACGATCCGCTTCAGGCCGCCGCGCAACCGGACGGGCGATTCGCACACGAGCCCTCCAACATCTGGGTGATCCGGAAGCAGACGCGGCGCAAGCGAGCTGGACAAGACGACGAGGTGGAAGTCCTATCGACCTACTTTGTCGTCGGGGATTGCATCTATATGGCACCATCCGTTGCTAGTGTCATTGGCAACCGAATCGTAAGGCTGCCTGCCTGCCTCCTTCCATCCTTTTTTAATAAGCGTCTGTCTCAACCGCTCACTCCGTTAACCCTGAAATTAGCTTTCGGCCGTGACCTCTCTCACCAGCCTCCTCAAAACAGCATCAACACTGCCCACCTTCACGCCGTCGCACGGACACACCTATCTCCCGCCGTCGGCCAAACAACCCGACTCCGCCGCCCAAGCAGCCGGCACCGCAGCGCAGCAGAGCAAAGAGAACACGCCGATGCCCGACGCACCCACGAAAGCGCCTCTGGTCGGATCGCAGGTGGCGCAGACAGGCGGCTCCGTATACCAGGATACCCGGACGCTGGCGGAGTCGTTCAGTCTGCTGACGCAGTACGGGGATGAGTTCATGGATGAGAACCCGCTGGTCGGCGAACCGGGTTCGTTCCTCATGTCCAAGGCCGGGGATGCGGCGGCGGCGGCTGGGTTGAGTAAACAGGGGCCCAATGCCGGTGGTGCAGCGGCTGCACGAGTAGCCACGCCGCAGGTCAGAGTGGACACACCGGGGAGGGGCTCGGAGAAGGGAGCTGCGACGCCGTCCGCCGCTGCGTTGGAGGACAGTAAATCAAGGAAGAAGAAGGTGAAGGTGGGGGGTCTGAGTTGAGGTCCGGTGTTGGCTGGGTTCTGGGGGAGAGATATGATACCCGTTTCACTTGTTATCGGTCTAGGCTCGCTAAAGGGTGCTAGCTACTCTTGGGAGATATGTCGTGAAGCACTTGCCATTCAGTGGATTCATGCTGGAGCGAGCTTTGCTTCTGCGTACTCGCATCGGCTTTCATTGTATTCTCAAGCACATAATCTCTAGAGGTATGGGATGCCGTGCATAATGCTTAGGAGGTCCCAACCGTTTTTTTCTGTGTGAAACAGTGCTTGCTTCGGCTTGAGTCTGATCTCCATGTATATATTCTAGTTCTCAGTCTTCCGGTAGGCAATGGCATGCTCAAAAGCTATGGCTGCTCTAAGATATAACCTTACAGGTTCTTCTTATTTGACGAAGGTTATAGGGTAACATGAGATTATCCCGATTCATGACTATAACTATCCGAAGGTAAATTCATCTAAAGGATTCGAAGCTAGGTGCGGCACCGTCCCCGACCCACGCTCTATGAGTCAACCTCCATCGTCTCGGCCTCTTTCGTCTCCTCGCCGGCTTCCGACCGCTCCAATGCGTCCAGCAGAGGTACGAGCAGCTGACCCTCGTATAGCTTGAAGCTCTCGATCCTACCCCTGGCCCCCTCGGGAGCCAGACCCACCACGCCGACGGAGGTGTTATCCACCGTCAACTCCTTATCCTGGGAAAGGGTCTCCTTGAGGGCCTGCAGGCCGTGGGTGATGAGCTCGTCGCGCGTGGAGCCGGCGATCTTCTCCAAGTTCCGCTCGAGGTAGGTACGGGCCATCTGGGAGCGGGCGCCAATGGCACAGGCCACCATCTCCTGGGTCATGCCCGAGGGCTGGAACTCGAACAGGTGGGGACCGGCGTCGTCGACGCCGGCCACGAGCAGGCCGACACCGTAGGGCCGCTTGCCGTAATGTTGGGTGTTCGTTTGAGCGCGATCGCCGATCTGGCTGACGATGCGGTCGACGGGCAAGGGGCGGCCGTAGGTCATCCGCGAACCCAGCGACTGCTGCTTCATGAAGTTGGAGAGCACCCGAGCGTCCGAGGCGAGACCGGCGATGGCAATGCCCATGTGGGAGTCGATTTCGATGATCTTCTTCTGGTATGACGAGAGTTCTTCGGCATTACGCTGAGAGGGGGGGGGGAAAGGAGGTGGGCAAGATGTCAGCTTTATGAGGTCTTCTTCTTGTATAGGGGAGAAAAATTGGAAGACCCTTCATGGGGTTTGGGGAAATAGTGGCTGGGCTAGCCTTACCTTCAAGCCGACGAGCACGGCATGTGTCTTGTTGACCAGTCCCACCACCACAGATCCTTGCTTCACGGCTTCCTGTGCGTATTCAACCTGGAATATCCGACCTTGCGGGGAGCTGTGCGCATAGTCCTTGATTAGCACAGCGCCTGAGGTGTATTTGCGTTGCGTTTGGAAGAATGAGAGAAGCTGGCGATAATACATACAAGGTGACGGCATCGTTGTCGTAGTTGTTTCTGAACATGGCGGGAGGATGTGATGAGGATCGGGTTCAAATGAGGAATCAAGGGAGTGAAGAGTAGTCCGATCAGAGAGTGATGTAGGAGATGAGTGGTAGTGGGGGAGAACAGAAGAGAATGAAGCGCAAGATGGGATGGGAGATAGAGTGATAGTAAGTTAGTAGTGGAGGAGGTTCGGACAGGCAGAGAGCAACTGACGCGGTGACGGCCAGGCCAGCGAGAGCAAGAACGAGAGCTTCCCGCCGCTAAGTTAGTCAGTTAGCAGTAGCAGTAAGCACTGCAGTGCTGAGGTGGTGCTCCTCCGCCGCTCCGCCGCAGTTGATGATGGTTGCCTGAGGCTGTCAGCACCAGCACCCGCGCCCGGACGTCACTGACTTCCTACTTACTCGTAAGTTAACTTAGTCCGTCCAGCTAAGCTGCCTGCCTATCCCACTCCCTCCCCATTCTTCTTACTCACTTTCCCTTCTACTCTTGGGCTTCCATGCAGTCGATCCACAACCCTTATTCTCTTTCACTGGATCTTCCTTGATACTACTTGCTCAGCGTCTTCTGAGCTTCCTCGCTCTCCACCTTCCCCCTCAACAAAGCTATTCTTCCCTATCGACCCCTCCTCACACCGACTGGGGCTCCTCCGCAACCATGACCGCCGGACTCAAAACAATCATCGCACTCTCCTTTGTATGCGCGCTTCTAGTTCTTTATTCTTTTTCCAAATCAGACGCTTGCTCCTACTGATGCAGTTCATCCATAGGTCCTTGCCATTGGTTTTCTTCTTGTGATCCTCTCTTCGGCTCTCTGGCACAACTTCCTACCGTTGCTTGTGGTTGCGACTTATGTTGTTGCGCCCCTGCCCAACTGGATCTGCTCACGATGCGCCAATCCGGATGACTTTATGGACAGCTCCGGCAACGCAGCTGCCGACTTTGGCCGCTTCATGACCGGTTTCTTGGTATTGATGGGTATTGGTGAGTTCGCACTTTTCGTTCCCGAAAGCAGGATCTGCGAGCGCTCCCGTAGATATCCGGTGTAGAGTGCTTTGAATCACGGTGCTTGCGATGCTGGTTTGACTTCTTGAGGCCGTCTGAGATAGCTAACCGAATTCACTCGATACAGCTCTCCCAGCCGCCCTTGCGCATTGCGGTGCGATCGAGATTCCCGCTATGGTCATGTCAATTGTTGGAGGTCTCCTCATCTACGGAACTATCATCAGCTTCTCGATGTTCTTCAAGGAGCAGGAGGACTTTTAAAGGCCGAGCACCGTGCTTTCCAGCAAGGCAGGCTTCGCGTTGGATACCCACCCTGCAGAATGTTTCTCCGCCTAGCATGAACCTATCCCGTCCCAATGTGTCTAACAGCTTTTCTTATTTTTCACGAGCCATCGATATGATTTACCGTTCCGTAGGAGTATTACGGTGACTTGGCGTGTTTATGGGGTTTGCTATGATTTTGTGTTTGTCATTTGGCGATGCGGTCGATGTATTATAGCCACAATGCAATTATATAGAATATTGGCAGTACAGGCCTATACTATTGCCGGTCAGATCATCCGATATAGGTTATCAAGTTGTCCGAATCACCTCGTCATGCGGCCATGCGTTCCGCCTTGAACTCATGATAGGATCACGTGGGATCGCGCTCCGCCGGCGCGTTCGTGTAAAAATACCCGCCGGTCGTCCACCAGCGAAGCACTTTGTGTACTTACGATTCTCAATTCTCTCGCTACCCAGTAATTCGCGACTTCACGCTATGTGAGCTGCTTGTATAGTTCTAGATACGCAGAATGGATGTCTGGACTGGCGCGATCGCGTTAGAGGGCGGAGCACAACTCCACGGTAAACCGAATCCGACAAAACTGCTTGCGTGCATCTGCTGAATCCTGTATTCAGGTCTACGATTAGTCGATAGATCATCCAACTGGCAATCTGATCTATCAACAGAATCATGTCTCAGCTTGCGCTGCTTCGTCAATCCGGCGCTTGTACCTCTCCACGCGCGATCTGGTCCGAACCTTGAACTCCATGCGGGGAACCCGGAGACTACAACATGGCTCAAGGACAAGTTGACGAGTACGATTTGGCTGGAAGAAGACGAGCTTGACCGGCTGCAAATATTTCAGTGCCCGGTTGGTCTGCTTGTTCGTGTCGACAACGGCGCACTATCCAAGGTCTCCAGTACCGGCACAACCGACCTATTGATCCACGGCGTCCTCTCAACGACAACCTCCTCCGAAAGGCCTCCCACCCCACCCGAATCATCATCACCAGATCTGGAAGACCAGGTTCTATCCGTCACCAAACAAGAGCTCAGAATCTACGCTACTCCCATATCTGCATCTCTAATCACAAGGGCACAATCCGCGTGCGCACCCCCTAACACCGACGACTCCTTACACGATGACGAGTTCGCTCACTTTCTCCCGGACATCTACTCTCCAAGCCCCAAACGCAAACGAGTTGCCACTCTCTTCGATTCCGTCACACAGCATCATAAAAGAGTCCGGCAGAAGGGCGGCGAAGCGGTGTCGCAATTAATGGCACACTCACTCTCGCACGCCTCCCAACAGCAACTACAAGCGCTACGGATCAAGCGAGAATCCGAGGAACCTTCTCTTCCTCAGATCGAACGCATTGCATCGCAGCGAGCACGGTCCCTTTCCATCGGAGGGACCATTGCAGGGAAGGCGCTTGAGTCTCGATTCGATACCTCTCGACCCAGCAGCAGACGGGGCCATCTGCGGGATCTGGGCTCTCGGAAAGGTACGCCCAATCCATTCATCGACTCCGCCACCACTACTACTTCAACTACATTCAAACAAGACTGTGGATCGTCACCCTCGTTTACCCCAGGAGGCAAAGTTGAACATCCGACGACACCGAAAAACGTGGGGACAATCATTGCCGAGAATAAGAACACAATCACGCGGACGATTCTGACCTGCATGCGGCTTTATGGCTTCAACCGACCCACAGCGACACGCACGGGAGGTTCCAGTAGACCGCAAACCGGGACCGGGGTGGGATATCAGGATGAGACGCCGGAGGAGAAAGAGCCGCGCATCATGGCAGATGTCGGGTCGAATACAGATGAAGATGAATTCAAGGCCATGTACCACGCGACCTATCGCGCGTCAACGTTCGCGTTGCGGAAGTATCTGAAGGAGACGGTGGCTGCAGATGAGTCTGGGCTGATGGGGCTGCCACCATTGTTGGAGAAAGCGAAGGCGATGACGTGCATTGATGAGTTCTTGAGACTGTTCTGTGAGGAGAACTAAGCCTGGCTGGTACAGGTGATGAATAATGAGTTATGATAAATACATAGTAAGCATCTTGGGTTGGTAGAGTCAAGGTGTCCGAAGGTGTAATCAAGTACGCGTGAAACCCTGGGGATCACTTTAGAATAGATTATGATACCACAACATCAAATGACACGGTTTAAATCAATCTATGGATGGAATCTGATTGTATTGTACTCGAGTATACATGCAACCCTCGACCGGCCGATGATTCTTCCGAGCTCCGACCGGGCAAGCAACTGCATCATCGCCGACAAGCTAGCGCAACCTGCCGATAACCAGCCCGAGCATCTTCTACTACCTACCTTAGCTATTTCTCACTCAGCGACTACGAAATCACCACCACCACCGTCTTTTCACTCGCTCACACACTTACAGCTCGATCAGCTTGGGCAACATGGACGTCTCCAACAACCGCCTCTTCCGATGGTCCAAGCCTGAATGGCTCAACAACTCCGCCGTCCGCAATGCAGGCGTCTACACCTCCGGCGCACTGGTAAGCTCTCACCTCTTCTCTCTCTTTCTTTCTTTCTCTCTCCGCGTCCCCAGTCCACCCTCTCTCACTACCATAAATCCGAAGCCCATGTGATTTATACTAATGTTCAATGTATCGAACAGTTCTCCCTGGGCTTCTTCTTCCTCATCGACGCGGCCGCCTACTCGCACAGCGCCAAGAACGGCTCCAACGTGCACGTGAAATTCGTCGACTGGATCCCCGGCATCTGCTCGGCGCTGGGGATGCTGGTGATCAATTCGATCGAGAAGTCCCGGCTGCATGCCGATAGCTTCAGTTACAGCGGGAGTGGGGTCGCGTGGAAGGCGCGGTTTGTCTTGTTTCTGGGGTTCGCGCTGTTGGCTGGGGGGTTGGCGGGGAGTGTGGTATGTTTTATTTCTTGTTCCCTTTATTTTCTCGTTTTTCTATTGGGGCTTGAGCTTGGGCTTGGGGCCTTACGGGGGGGGGGCGCATCTGATGTCTTACGTGAGGAAGGGGATTTGGCTCGCTAACAATCGCTTCGCAGACGGTCATGGTACTCAAGTATCTGATGAAGTCGTACCCGTTTCCCACCTTGTATTTTGGAATCGCGAATGTGATTGCTAATGGGTTGGTCATGTTGAGGTATGTTTTCTCTCTTTCTGGCGAAGTCAATGGAAAGTGGCGGGGGCTAATGCTGTTAACGTAGTTCGGTGGTGCTCTGGGTTTCGCAGAACATTGAAGACGATTATACCTATAATTTGGCTCTATGAATGAAGATCAAGGGTTGGGGTGATTGAAGAGGGGTATGGTGGGTGGCTTTGGGAGAGAGGTCGGTCGGGATAGGTTCACTACTGGGCCTAGGGAGGGAAGTTATGATTTCAGGTTGAGCAATCAACGAGCTCTAGTGCTTTTTCTGTGCGTGATCGGCGTTTCTGTTCTATGTTGTCTCTGAATGCATTTGTGGGTTGGTCCTTGGTCGTGTGTGGTTCGTTTAGCCTGTTAAATCGCGCATGTTAATTTATTTCTTTGATAACATGTTTTCGGACGATTTATTTAATAATTGCAGGTGCCTGATGGCAGCATTGACTGCCTAGGCACACTTATCTCGAAAAAGGAGTAGGAGCAAGGGCACAAATCGTCGAGTGGACATGATTGCGTGGATGAATGTTGCCTATGGTGCCTTCTTTAGGCCGCCGAAAACTTCCTATCGATATATGTATACGTATTGCCAAGAAGAAGAAAAGTCAGAACCGACAGGCTGAAAGATATATTATTCCGTAAACAGACTTCCTTTCTTTGAACCTATGTAAAATGTTCATTGCAACAGCTAGTCAAAATAGGCGTAAAAGAAGTGGGCATATCTCATGCATAGCAGTAAGGACTCATGACATGCAGAGCCATGTAAGCGGATGATCCCGCCCCAAGTGCGGGACATGAGCTGGTTCATGGAGGTCCAGGTCCCAACATGGACGCAAGCCAAGTGCTTGTCGCCAGGCATTTTGAATCCCAGATCGACAGGCAACTTTATCAGTAGCCAGGAAAGACGCTCTGGTAAGTATGCAGTTGCCTGATTGTGCTCGGAAGCAGTTTACCGTCGGCGAGCTGTGAAGATGTTCCTGTAACTTATGATTCGACAAGCCCAATAACCCGGCCTTCGTGGCCGTACAGCTAGTGGCGAATTCGTGCAGGGCGTGCGACAAACCCCATAATTTCGGCCTTCAAAGCCAAGCCGCTCAAGCAGACTCAACCTGGTGAGCGCGCAGCTTATCCATGAGCGCATCCACAGCGTCCATATCGCCAGCGTCGATCTTGTCGCGGGAGTAGCCCTCCGGCAGGTTCTTGGTCACTTCATCCATGGCAGGTTGGTAGTTGCGGACCGCGGAGGAGATGGCGTAGATGGCCTTCTTGCGAACATTGGGGGTGGAATCGGTGGTGGAGATCGTCACAAGCTTCGGAAGGGCGTTGAGAACGACGAGCTGGCATTGTCGTTAAAATCCTAAGCAGAGAGGTTTCGAAGGGGGGAGAAAAACATACCTTATCCTGTGCCTTCTCGTTATTCTGCACCGCAGTTCCAATACACCAGGCCGCCATACGTCTCATCTCCGCCTCCTCGTGCTGCAGCAACTCCACCAACGGAGTCCACAGGCCCAAGGGCTCCAGGTTGTTGGCATTGTCGATGCCCTCGATCAGCTGCTCAAAGTTGTCGAACGCGATCAGCTTGTTCTCGAGATCCACCTCGTCGGAGCGCAGTGCCTGCATAGAGGCTTTCATCAGGTCGGCGTCGGTGGGACCGCCGAAGAGCGCGGATAGCATCTCGGGGTTGAGACCGCGCGAAGCGGCGCTGGAGGGCTGTGTGGCACCATCAGCAACAGCAGTAGCCCTGTTGTTGTCACCTTCGTCGGCGCGGTTCTCGGTGGAAGCTTTGATGCTCCATTTGAGCAGGTTGTTCATGTTTGGGTCCATTGTGTGGAGGGGCTCTAGAGCAGAAAGTGTTGGATGTTGAAAAAATAAATAGATCAGTCGTGACTGCGACCTAAAATATGCACTATTACAGAACAAGCAGAAATGAATCAGTCGTTTGGAATAATTATGGGTATAGTGGGTGTTGAGGAAGTAGGAAAGGCTCCGGCCAGTCTCAACAACTAACAATTTGGCAGGCGAAAAAAAAACCGGAGTGACGTTCGGGAGGGATCCAGAGGGTTCATGCGGTTCCCGCTATCTTCCACTCTCTTCCATCGCCAGCTTACATTGGCAATAGCTAGCAATCAAGGGCTATTATTTACTACCATTCAACCATGCATCTAGTCAATGAGGGTCTTCTAAGACCATTCATGCTTCTAGGTTCGATATCCTCTTCTTGGGGACGGTAATTGCTATCGGATTGTTTGCGCAGTGCTGGCGATGAATACCCCGCCATCGGATACCCCGCGATGCGGTCATTTGTGATATCAGATCAAGAAAACAGTCAACCGTCAAAACACCTCGTGCCATTCGTCTGACATTGCATGTATGTCCTTGGTCGTCGTGTTTAGGCGAACACAAAACCTTAGGTACATCCTCGAGGATAAGCAATTGATCCAGATGCTCGTTGAATTGGCCCCTCTCCTTTGACCCCCACAAGCATCAATCACATTAGGGGCGGTTATGAATGATCAGGCATCAGTCGATCGATTGCCGCCAGATTACCAACGAAGCACTAACTAATTGTTTACATTAATTCCGGGTTTTTGTCGAGCCTTCCTCCGAAAATTGACCCTCTTTCCGGTCGGTCAGCAATGAGGGAAGATGATCATGGACCCGTTCAGGGACACCGAGCACAAATGACAGAGTAACGCTAGAAAACGTCCAGATGAATGAGGGGCCGACACTTTACGTGAAGTCAATAAACAACTAACCCCTTGAACTATTGGCTCCATTTTCTTTCGAATCGAAGGAAAGGAGAGGGATCCAGAAGCCGGAGAGGCCTTCCGACCGTCCGACTATCAGGAGTTTTTGTGGAAGAAGGGGTGGGGGGGGGAAGGGAGCGTTGATAATTCCTTGGCCTAGAGACTAGACTAAGCTACTATTATTATCGCGCGTGGCATCATCGGACATTCATTCAGCAACCTGTTCTCTGGTCCGGACGGCGGCGACGACAGCAACCCTGGATCAGGATCGATTGTGCCCCACGAGGGATGCGCAATGCGCAGCAATACTTTTACTCCAGACTCCAGACTTTCCGCAGCAACAATCATTCTGCCTGAAGGCAACCACTATTTGAATGTTGGGTGTGTGTGGAAGGAATTGATGAGTGAAGGGTGTATATAAAATGGGGAGGAATATTTGGGGGGGAGATGAGAATCTATTGAGCTTGTGGTTCGGAAATCGTATTCGCATTACACATTTACTTCCTCCTCCATCTCTTCTCCATTACCCGGTTTTTCCACACCCCCAATTGTGAGGCCCTCCCCGAATTGGGTAGTGTGGCGGTGACAGCAACTGGCACTAAAGACTCACTAAGTTGAGCTGGTGCAATCAAGGAACTGCTTTACGCTCAAACTAGACTCAGACCAGTCTAGACAAACTCCCCACTATCTCTCTCTCTCTCTCTCTTTCTCCCTCCTTTCCCCCCTCCTTCTGCCTTCCCTCCCCCCTGGGTTTGTTTCCCTTGTCCCAGAAGGACAACTATACAGTACTGTTACCGAAGAGTTCAGTACACAACTCCCTCTTCTTCCTCCTGAGACCACTAGAGACCACCAGATCTAGGAAATAAAACCCCCCTCTCCCGTAAGCCAGAGCTCAACAACCCAATCCTGACCCATCAATTGACTTAATCCACTAATTGTTGCCAAAGGTGCTGTTGTTTGTGGTGGTTGTTCTGTTCTTAAGAGTGTTGTGTTGTGTTTTGCTGACTACGCACCCTCACCCGCCGGCCTCCTAAACTCTTGCCTCTCACTCACTCTCGTGCTCTACCGATAACTCACTCAACTCTCTTTCCCGCCCGCCTTCTCTTACCTTCTCTCCCTCTCTCCCTCTTCCTTTCTTACCTCTTCCTCTATCTCTCTCTCTCTCTCTCCTTCCCCTCTCCCATCTCATCATCATCACCACCACCCAACTTCACCACCACCACAAACCACCCTCCCCTCCTCTAATTCTCTTCTCTCTTTTCTTTTTCTTTCCGTAGTTCGATTCTTAATCCCACAGTCACCATGGAAGGTAAGCTTTCGGCCACCTTGCGTCTCTCGCTTGCTCCCCCAAGCTCTCCCCTGAAACCGTCCTCTCCCCTCCACCCCTCCCCCTCGTCTCATCTTCATCGTAATTCACCAACTCAACATTGCTGCATTTCGCTAACTGTTTTCCTTTCAAATTTACAGAGGAAGTTGCTGCTCTCGTCATTGACAATGGGTACGTTTTGAGATCGCTGATGGTTTCTGGCAATGGATCTCGTTCCTCATGTTCCGCCCATGCTGGGGGTTGAGATGGCAAAACATACGTGTCGGCTCCGGTCACGACCCTGAACAACTCCCGGTCGCCAACGTACTTGCCTCAATCTTCTTGCTCAAGCTTTGGGGAACATGAGAGCTATTGAGCTCTAACCACGATTCATGCGAAGCTTCTACTGACTGGCTTTCTCCAGTTCGGGTATGTGCAAGGCCGGTTTCGCCGGTGACGATGCTCCCCGTGCCGTCTTCCGTAAGTCATCCCCCCCAGCTTTTCAGGCTACCCCTCCCTACCCTCGTGATGGCCATCCACTCTGCAAGGCATGCTTATACGGCTCCCTTGCATTGAGTGGCTATCATTGCGGGGGAGGAGAGCGGGCGGTGAATCGCCTCTCCTTTCTGCCATCATTCCAGTATGCTAACCACTGCCTACAGCCTCCATTGTCGGTCGTCCCCGTCACCATGGGTAAAACTTCTCTCCTTTCAATCCGAAATGGGCCCCCATGAATCTAATGAACTCCCAGTATCATGATTGGTATGGGTCAGAAGGACTCCTACGTCGGTGATGAGGCACAGTCCAAGCGTGGTATCCTCACCCTCAGATATCCCATCGAGCACGGTGTCGTCACGAACTGGGATGACATGGAGAAGATTTGGCACCACACCTTCTACAACGAGCTCCGTGTCGCCCCTGAGGAGCACCCCGTTCTCTTGACCGAAGCCCCCATCAACCCCAAGTCCAACCGTGAGAAGATGACCCAGATCGTCTTCGAGACCTTCAACGCCCCCGCATTCTACGTCTCCATCCAGGCTGTCCTGTCGCTGTACGCCTCCGGTCGTACCACTGGTATCGTTCTGGACTCTGGTGACGGTGTCACTCACGTCGTCCCCATCTACGAGGGTTTCGCCCTCCCCCACGCCATCTCGCGTGTCGACATGGCCGGTCGTGACCTGACGGACTACCTCATGAAGATCTTGGCCGAGCGTGGTTACACTTTCTCCACTACCGCTGAGCGTGAAATTGTCCGTGACATCAAGGAGAAGCTTTGCTACGTCGCCCTCGACTTCGAGCAGGAGATCCAGACCGCTTCCCAGAGCTCCAGCCTCGAGAAGTCTTACGAGCTTCCTGACGGCCAGGTTATCACCATTGGTAACGAGCGCTTCCGTGCTCCTGAGGCTCTCTTCCAGCCCAGCGTTCTGGGTCTCGAAAGCGGTGGTATTCACGTCACCACCTTCAACTCCATCATGAAGTGTGATGTTGATGTCCGTAAGGATCTGTACGGCAACATTGTCATGGTGAGTTTCTGTGTTCGATTGTTCCTCACATGAGCCTTCCCTAATGATGAATTAGTCTGGTGGTACTACCATGTACCCTGGTATCTCCGACCGTATGCAGAAGGAGATCACCGCCCTTGCTCCTTCCTCGATGAAGGTCAAGATCATTGCTCCTCCCGAGCGCAAGTACTCCGTCTGGATCGGTGGTTCCATCCTGGCCTCCCTCTCCACCTTCCAGCAAATGTGGATCTCCAAGCAGGAGTACGACGAGAGCGGTCCCTCCATCGTCCACCGCAAGTGCTTCTAAGGTATGTTGTGTTCTTTTCTGGTGAACTGGCACGTGTGCTAATCTCGTGTAGCTCTTGCGCGTGATTCGTTTCGTACTCTCATATTCCCTCATGTATCAAAAGACCCGACGGAGACACTGGTGACTGACGGGCCCTCTCTGACTCGCACTAGGAGGAAGATCGCCTGAAAAAGGAACTTTTATTTTAGCTGTCGAATAGAGATGGTTTTTACTTTTTTTTTTCATTTTGAAACACGCTTGCCACTTGGCCCAGGGCCACCATCCCTGGCCACCGCCCGGAAAATCCGGCGACAAGCGGACCAGGCAATGGTGTAGGACCGAGATGTATATGGGACTTGTGGTCAGTCTGGGGAAAGCTTTCTTCATATGAGTCTTTTACACTCGTGTTTAAGTCTTGCACGCGTATTCCTTCTCAGCTGTGACACTATGAACTGCTACTGCAAATATGATGTCTCCGCAAACCTGCTCACCGTAGTCACGTCTGCCGTAGCCATTTTCGAATCAGTTCTGCGTGTGCGACTGTCCACCATGCCGTATTTCCCATTTCCCGGCGGAATCTACCCCGGGTTTGTTTGCAGTCGATACTCATGTTGCTTGAGAATTGAGGCTCAGCTCATGATGTCATTTTTTCTTGGCTGGCTAGGACCTTCTCGTCTACCGGGCACATGACCAGGCTATGTCAATCTCGTGTCCTGGAGGTCATTTCCGTACTGTTGGCTCTGGGGTAATCGGCCTTGACCTGCTGTCTGCCTTGCACGTGATTTGAACAAGGTTCAGTGCTGGTTGAGCATGGCTGCATTTGGATTTAGCAGGAGTATGTACGTAGTGGGTTTTCAGAGAGAGAGAAATTGGGACAGCAATGAATAGCACAAGATCCATCCACTCGAAATATTATAAGTAAGAAATTGCGGAGAGTTGAAATCGTAACTATTCCGAGTAACATGTCCGCTGTCGGACAAGAGTCAGTAGGAATTTTCTTTTCTTTGTTCAATTTATTGGCCTGTATTGCATGTCGAGAATCAGGTTGAGAATCCATCAATTATATAGATATTCATGCTCGTGTGGGGGGTCGAACAAAGAAACCATGTCACTCTCATCGAGAGGAGGTATATGTAATAAAATCATAAATACATCCAAGAAACAAACCAGGCAAACAGTGCTCTGGTGGCATAGCGCAAATCGTAATCAACATCAATCACACCGCTCCTCATCTAAACATAATCCCGAGGAAGAGGATGCATGAGAAAAAGGAAACAATGACACTTTTCATTCAGGTTTTAAGGAAAAGAAAAAGAAGAAAAAAAAACCATTTATCGCAGCAATTGGTATAAAATCATTTCCGGATAGGGTTTCTTTTAAGCGTCCCAGCTCTCCAATCCGGTGAGGACACATCCCTCTTCGCCCTCTTTTCTGGCCTGGAGCTCTCCGATCTCATAGACGGTCTCGCCCTCCTTCTGGAGGAGGTCCTTGACGGCAGCCTCGGAGCCCTTCTCGACGGCAATAACCATACCGACACCGCAGTTGAAGGCGCGGGCCATCTCAATGGCCTCGACGTTACCGGTCTGCTTGAGCCAGGCGAAGACCGAGGGCAGCTTCCAGCCCTCCACGTTGATGTGTGCGGTCAGGGTTGAGGGCAACATACGGGGGACATTGTCGACCAGACCGCCACCGGTGATATGAGCAAGACCCTTGATGGCGGAAGAGTTGGGAGCAGTGGGGGTGGCGGAGGGAATAGAGAGGGCTTTGAGAAGGGGCTTCACGTAGATACGAGTGGGAGTGAGAAGGGCCTGGCCGAGGGTCTGGGGCCCGGTGGCAGAGGGCATGGTGAAGGGAGCGGCGGCATCGTAGCTAAGACCGGAGCGTTCGACGACCTTGCGGACCAGCGAGTAGCCGTTGGAGTGAGGGCCCGAGGAGGCCAGGGCCAGCAGCACGTCGCCGGCCTTCATGGCCGCGGTCTCGGGAAGGATAGGGCGGGCATTGGGGCCCGTAGTGTTAATGGCACCAACGGCAGCACCAACAGCATCGTATGTGTTGTCGACAAAGAGACCGGGCATCTCAGCGGTTTCACCACCAATCAGGGCACAGCCAGCCTGAACACAGCCATCGGCGACACCGGTGACGAAGGCGGCGGCCGTGGGCACGTCGAGGTGACCGCAGGAGTAGCAGTCGAGGAAGAAGAGGGGCTCCGCACCCTGAACAACCAGGTCGTTGACGTTCATGGCGACAAGGTCAATACCCACGGTGTTGTGTACACCGGCCGCGTGAGCAATCTTGAGCTTGGTGCCGACACCGTCAATGGCACCGATCAGGGTCGGGGAGTTGGGGTCGTAGGCGGAGTTGGCGGCGGCGAGTGAGAAGAGGCCGCCAAAGCCACCGATCACGGCGTCGGTACCAGGACGCTTGGTCTTGGCGACGGAGCTCTTAATCTGGTTGACAAGGTCGTTGCCGGCATCGATGGAGACACCCGCAGCGGCGTAGGTGAGAGATTCCTTCTGAGCGGCGGCGGCATCGCGCTGGCGGAAAGCCCGATGGGCGATGTCCTTGCGATAGAACATGTCCTCGAAGTGAATGGTGGAGATGCCCTCATAACTCTTCCGGACAGCCTCTTCAAGGCTAGAAGCGGTCGCGGTGGACGCAATGACACGGCCACCAGCGGTCTGCAACTCGCCGTTGACAAGGTTGGTGCCGGCGTGGAAAATGAGGGTCCCTTCGGTGGGAGAGTCGAGAGTGATCTTCTTTCCCTTGGCGTAAGAGCCAGGGTAGCCACCAGCGACGGCAATGACCGTGGTGGAGAAGTTGGGCTTGATCTTGATGGAAACACCGTCCAGCCAGTGTTCCGTACAGGCAACCATGATCTCGGCCAAATCGGTATCATCGCTGAGCAGGGGCAGCAGAGTCTGGGTCTCGGGGTCTCCACCACGAACGTTATACTCAAGGACCTTGGGGCCGTCCTTGGTCATCATCAAACCGGTAAAGAGAATGCCGACGAAGGGGAATCCTGGAAGACGTATTAGTGTGATACAAACACCAAAGGAGGGATGATGGCGGACCGTCTCTTCTCATGCCGTCAACAGATGGCTGCACAATGGTGCGATCGATCTCATCCAGCACGGCCTTGGAGGAAATGGGGGTCGGGGCGTAGCAGCCCATGCCACCGGTGTTGGGGCCCTGGTCCCCGTCAAAGATGCGCTTGTGATCCTGGGCAGCCGGAAGAGAACGGATGGTGTAACCGTCGGAGAATGTGAGAATACTGAGTTCATCGCCCTCGAGGTATTCCTCAATGACGACCTCGCTGCCAGCCTTGCCAAACTGGTTCTCAACCATCATCTCACGAAGAGCCTGGTGGGCTTCCTCCTTCGTGGTGGGGATGATAACGCCCTTACCACCGGCCAGGCCGTCGGCCTTGATAACGACCTGGTGGGAAACGGAGTCGAGATACTGGCGAGCGGGCTCATATTCATAGAAGTTCTCGTAAGCAGCAGTGGGAATGTTGTGGCGCTTCATGAAATCTTTAGAGAAGGTCTTGGAGCCCTCCATGCGGGCAGCGGCCTTGGAGGGACCGAAGCATCGGATACCGACTGTTCGTGACCGTGATTAGTGGGGCTGCGCTGACTTTTGTGGCCTGGGTTTGTGTTTGCGGAGAATACTCACCAGCCTGGAAATAACCTTGAATGCCGTCCACGAGGGGAGCCTCAGGACCAGGTACCACCAGGTTCACACTGTTCTGTTGGGCGAAGGCCACAAGTCCGGGGTAATCATCACCCTTGACGTTGGCGTTCTGAATCTTTTCTGAGGCACCGCTGCCGGTACCGCCGTTTCCGGGAGCGACGAAGACGGTGTCGACGCGGGGCGACTGGCTCAATTTCCAGGCCAGTGCATGTTCACGACCGCCATTGCCGACAATAAGCACGCGCAACCGCTCGGTAGTCATGATGAGAGAAAGGAGGAGGGGAGGCGCAATGGGCTCGAGTGAACCTGAGAGAGTTGGGTCGAAATTAGTATGGGACGGGACGGAAATGGCGGGGTGGTGGTTGCAGAGTGCGACGATAAGAGTCAATTGCAGTCAAAGATAGTGAAGGATTAGGAGAAACGGAGGAAGAGAAAGGAGGAACGAAGGGAAGAAGAAAAATAAGAAGACAAAAGATGAGCGATGCCTGGGAGGGAGGGAAAGGGAAAGAAGGAAGCTCTCATAGAGAGGGGGGGGGGCTTGAGTCAGTCAATACTCAAAGAGTTGAAGTGGAGTCTCTCTTGTCTTTCTCCATCTTTTTTCTCTGGTTTGAATCTGACGGACTCCCATACGGTGAATTCTCAATGTCTGCACCAAGAAAGACAACCTTCAGCAACTCACCTAGGAAGCGACCTGCGCGGAAAAAAAGGAAAGGGATGAATTCAAACAACCCACAAAGTTGATGGTTGAGGGGTGGTGGGGGGAGTTTTAAAAGTCAAATCGTCCGTCTTTTTTTTTTTTTTTTTTAGCAGCGATGTCGGATTTTGCCTGGGTTGGCCGCCCGGCGGGGAAGCGGCGATTTGCCCCGACCCCGGATTGATGGGATTGGTCTGAGTGTCGAGGCGGTCGGGCTTTCCCACCGCCTTCCGCGGGCAGAAAGATTTCGATTGTTGAACTGTTGATTGAACCTGCCAAAGCGGCAAAAAAAAAAGTGATAAGAGCAACCATCAACTTTTGCCGCCCGGAGGTTTCCAATTCTTCTCGTCTGGTCCCATCATCCATTTCGTATTGGTCTATCCCACTTCCTCCACATCCATATATTCACCTTCACCTTGAACTCGGTTTACCCATCGATATAGCCCCGAATGCTTCGGGCTTCGTGGCGGTCCGCCGTGACCCCCACGAGGGGTCACGTCTGCTGGTCGTGTCTTTCCCGTGGCTTGAGTGCGCCTCCGCATCAGCAGTTATGGGCGCGTTCTTTTCAGAGCAGGTCTCGCCTGCGCTCCCAGGCTTCAGCTAGCACCGAAACGGAGAGCCTGCCTAGTACTCCGGCTCTCAAACAATCCGACATCAATCAACAGCCTGCATCGGAGCCCCAGTCAAAGTCGCATCCTGAGGCCGACCACAACGAAGTCTCCAAAGTAGACGGCTTGCCCAACGAAGCTTCTAACAAAAAGGAGCCGGATCTTGATCCACTCGCGGGGAGGATTACGATTTTTGCTAGAACAACAGAAACCACTTCTGGTAAACTCAAAGCGCGACAATCTTTAAAAGGTGCGTGTGATACGAGCTTCCCTCACGAGCCTGAGCCGAAAAAAAAAATGAAAATGCGAAGAACTGACTGTTGCGCAGCGCTCCCGGTGAAAACAACGGATGTTCCCGGCCTAGCATTTGGACTGGATCGAGTTTTGTTCAAGTAAGAGCCGCCGTCTCTGTTCAAGGCGTGAAATGATATAGCCGCGAGACCTAACAATTGTTCAGCCAGGGAGTTTACACGCTGCGAGACCCAAGATCCCGAGTTTACAACTTCGATCCGTACTTGGGTTCCATTATGCCTGTTACCGAATTTGATTTCCAAGCTTTGAAGGATTACATCACATCTTCCAAGGATAAACAACTGCACTCGCTCGCGCGCGAGGCCGGCAGGAAATACATCGGATCCTCTTCGAGTATGACTTCCGTGCTGTCGCACTTTCACTACCTGCTGTCCGCTTGGCGACCCGTCGACACTAGCAGCTTGTCTCAGGGCTTCAACGAAGAGTTGAAGACCTTCACGCGGCTCTTGCGAGCGCCTGCCGCCATGTTCCTGCACTATCAGGACGGCGTCTATGCTATTGATGCCGACAAGGAATTTGATTCTGCCAATATCTTAATGAACCTGGGTAAATCGATGGAGAAGCTACTCACGCTGCCTAAGTCGGATTTTGAGCGCTATCGACGGTCTAGCGCTAACAAGATCACCCCTGAGGAAGAGAATGCGATTCCGGAATCCTACCACTATTCGACACTCGGCGACTTCCTTATGCGTTCGCAACTAGATGCGTACGATCCACGACTCCCCGGTACCGGCATGTTCGATCTGAAGACCCGTGCCGTGGTGTCAATTCGGATGGATGCGCGTAACTTTGAGCATGGCCTGGGCTATGAGATCCGCCGACCCTTCGGTTTGTACGAATCATACGAGCGTGAATATTATGATATGATTCGGGCTGCCTTCCTCAAGTACTCGCTGCAGGTACGCGTTGGGCGCATGGACGGCATTTTTGTGGCTTTTCACAATATTGAGCGTATCTTCGGTTTCCAATACATCTCTTTGAACGAGATGGACAAAGCCCTACACGGTCAATTCAAACTTGAATTGGGTGATCGCGAATTCGAACTCAGCATTCAGCTCTGGAATGATATCCTGAACCGTGTTACGAAAGACTTCCCTAAGCAGTCACTACGTTTCCATTTCGAAACACGTGGTGATCGCCCTGGAACGAAGCCCCACATGTATATCTTCGCGGAACCCGTTACGACAGACGAGATCGCGGCGATACAGAACAAGAACAAGGAGGCCATTGACGCCTATCAGAAACGCGTTTTGAATTTGCCCGATGAGCCGGTGGTGGAGTCGGCCAAGGACGAAGGCGAAGATGAGGCCGTCGAGGATGAAGATCCAAAATATGACACTACCGTGAAAGATCCTACTGACGCCGTGGCAGAGGGGGCGGAAGACGAGGAATACTTCTGTCTGGACAGCAAGCCTGAAATTGATACGACCAAGAAGCTCTTTGCTGCTGTGCTCTCAATCGAGAATTACGTGAACGATAAGTTGGTCCTCAGACCTGAGAATTTCGGTAGGAGGGATAAATGGGAGGTCTCTTACAAGATCGATTACCTGGACCCAGAGGATCCGCAGACGCATCGGATGTATGCTCATTGTCAAAAACGTCGCCGCGATGCTCTCGACTTCGAGAAATCAGACGGACTTACTCCCTATCTGAGGAAGCTCCGTTCAATTTCTCGGGCTGGTCGCCGTTACCGCGAGCAGGAGAATATGCGCGATCGAAAAAACGCGCCTGTCGTCTATCGCACCCTACCCCCTACTGGTCTTGGTGCTCCCATCAAGGTACATGTCCGCCACCTGAAGTTGACTGGGAAGGGCGGTAAACAGGCAGCCAAGAAGCCTCTCAAGAAACCTTCCCATAAGAACACCACCAAGCCCGCCGGCAAATCTCGGCCCACCAAGAAGACCAGCGAGTCCCCTCCCGAGCCAGAGCCATCTGCTGAGCAGCCTGCCCAGCAGACGTCCACCCAGGAGAATTAGGCATCGGAGGAGTCCAGATCTCATCAACTCCCATCAACATCACCACTACCATCATCCCACCATCATCATTCAGCTGAGGAAATCAGTCGGAAAAACTCCTTGGCTTGTAACTTGCATTTCATCAAAATCAACTCATTTCAGACAGGGGCTTGTGTAATTTTAAATGCGCATATTTGTGCTGGATAGGAGTTGAGTGATTCCCAAGATTAGAAAGCAATTGATTTTCTCTTGTCCATCTACTACTATTGAGTTTCTTTCGTCGGATCTATATAATACGAAATCATTCATCTCTCTCTCTATCTCTCTCTTTCTAACCCTAATCCTCCCCCCGCCGCTCTTTCCACTTACCCTATGTATTCTTGCGGGGTGTGGAACAGCGAAGTAGCTACCCACCATAGCGCAGCATGTAAACCCAGCCCACCCACATCCCTTCGACACAGCATGTCATTTTCCGTGGGAATAGTAGCCATAGCCATAGCGACAACTCGCCGAGAGCCAGATCAACAGAGCGAGGGCCGGGAAACCTAACCACCAACTGAATCACGGGTCTCTGGAATGCATGACCTATATTACAGATAGATCATTGGGGTTGTACAGTACTAGGTAGCTAGGTGGACGGTCCTGTGCCTCCCCGAATTCATCGTGTAACATCGTAGGTACCGTACCATAGTATGGACGGCAGGGTCCGGCAAATGTCCTCCGGCTTTGGCAGCTTCAGCTGAATATGTATGTACACTGCAGTAATCCGATCAATGAGCTGATGGGAGGCACGAAGACTGGGTCGAGATCTCTTCTAGACGGGTTCAATGATGAAAGGATGGAAGGGTGGGGTCTATAGAAAGAACAATGGTGACTGATCAATAAAGTGGATGATTCGTATGAAAGATCAGTTACGCCAGTCGAATTGGTTGACTCGCTACAACAAATAGATCTACCCTAGGGCATTTATGGCATCAGTCACCGTGATCTCTCCGACAAGCATAACAAGTAGATCTCCCATTAAGAATGAAGGAACTTCGATTACAGGCATCGGTCTAAGCATACATGTTTACCAGCGTACAGTCGACCACTGGTCATCATACTGAATGCAACGATATACAGCCGCTGAGAATCATTTCATTTGGCTTCTGGTTTTTCAAGACTCGCGAGAGTCAACGAAGCTGACTAGTTACAGTCGCACTCATTCACCGTGAGTATCATCATTCTTTTTGTTCAGCCCACCCTATCTCGCGTTCGTTCCGCTTGCAAGGGTGGACAAAAGATATATTCTATTGACATTAACAATTATGGGCATCATGGGGTCCGCAAAGAGAAAGAGACAAAATGTATCCGACAGACTTGAAATGCGCCTCACTGGAAACCCAAAGATACTCGAACATCTCTCGATGGAATTGTTGATTTGAACGCCGCCTAGCCGATGCGCCAACCACGCAGGATGATGCAAAAAAAAAAAAAAAAAAATGGAAAGAAAAAGGTCGAAGGTCGTCCTACTCTTCTCTCCGCATCTGCCTTTCCTGAGGCTGGCCGGAGTAGAAAAGTCAGGATCAGTGTCGTAAGAAGAGAAAAGGAACGGAAAAGGTATGGATGATATTGGACAGGACCAGACACTGATGACCAATTGGCATAAAGGCCAGAAGATCCAAAACCAGGTCAGGGATGAGTGTCGAAAAGAAGTGGAATGCTCGATTGTGGGAGAAGCCACGTAGAAAGGAACAAAAAGCACAGGCGTGCCTCGTAGACTGGTTGAAAGCAAAAGCACATTGAGAGTAGTGGGGGAGGTATCACGCAACAATAGCAGGATAATCGTGTGCTTCTTCGACTAGCGAAAACAGCTCGATATGGTTGTCTCGTTGTTATATTCATTAATCATGTCCTTGGGACGAGAATGGCCGGCTTATCAGAAATTATCCAATTCAAGATGAGGAGGTGCCCAGTCCAGTCTTGGTGGCCTATCATTTGATACACACACTGCACCCGACCTCATTTTCTCCATTCGTTTGCGTTCTTTGGATGCACCACTGCCCAAGAAGCCCCTCAAGGTGGAGGATGCCGATCCATAGGTGCTTCGCGTACTTGTGCCGGTACCCGTAGAAACAGTGCTGGAGCTGCGGGCACTGCGAACGCTGCTGGTCTTATTCACCACAGGAGGTATGGCTGGAACAGGCACTGCCAAACGAGGGTTATGGCCATTGGAGCCTGTATATTCTAAAGGCAGGAATGACTGGCTTCCATAATCCGCTAACGAGAAGGGCGCTGTTTGCGGGCGTTCACGAAGCTCAGCGACCAAGCTACTCTCGGCGTCAAGGCTGTTGAACATTTCCAGATGAGTCTTCGGGCTGGTACTGCCATCATCGAGCTGCGGCGGGGGTTGGATTTCATCGGTTGATACCGTTACGTCCAGTTTCAGGTTATCGAGCATCAGTCCCAGCGTTGTTGCAGTGGCCGGTCGCCCTTCGCTGGAATTGTCATCGTCGAGCTCGGCGCTACCATCGTCCAAGCCATGCGCCAGGTTATAGTTCCGAAACAGGTATCGGCGCAGGCGCGCAACCTCTACATCCCACTTTTGGTTCAATGATTGCAAAATGACTTCGACATCTTGTTGCATCAAAGAAGCATCCGCAGGGGAGAGCAGGTTAGAAGATGAGGCACCCGACCGGTGAAGAGATGAAGGCTGCTGTTTGGACAGTTTGCTGCTATTCGAGTTCTTGTTGGTTATGGCAGCTTGGATCGAGCGACGAATAGAACTGGTCGTAGAGCTCTGAGCCAGGCTGACGTCCCGCTTGACACTCTCAACTTCGCGCCGCACCCGTTCAAGAGACTGGACCCGGTCTCGGTCCATGCAGGAAAGACTCAGTAAGGATCGATTCCGCTGCAGACCATTCACCAGGACCGTGAACGACTGAAGATTGATGTCGTTATTCTCACAGTAGACCTCACGCAAACAATCATTGGCTTCCAGCACAGATGCCAGGGTGTTTGCTCCCTGCAAACCAAGCTTCTGATGTTCTATCCTCAAGACTTGCAGAGACTTGTTCTTCTTCAAGCCAGTGAGGGCTAGATTGAGACCGATCCCGAACCGGGCGACATCCAAGTGCGCGCTCTCTCCACTGATGTCCAGATCTTCGAGCGTCTCGTTTTCCTCGAACATCAGCTGCAGTGCCTTGCAAGTCTCCGGCCCGGCATCGTAGGGCAGGGACGCTTTCGAGATATCCAGGTATTTCAGAGATCGATTCACCCGTAGAGCCTCGACTAATTCTTGAAACTGCTCCTCCTTCTTGAAGTCAATCATCCGCATAGACATGTGTGTCGGAGTCTTGTTCTGTGCTATGGCGTCGAATAGGTACGAGCAACCCTGATCAAGTCGGTTCTCGTTTACATGCAGATGCAGATTGCGAGACTCAAGCACCGCCATAGAATGCAGGAAAATCGCCACGTCCTGGCCGCTGAGACCGCACTGGTCGAATTTGAGAACGCGCAAGCCTTGGGAGCGATCGCTGGCCAAATACGTGGCAATGGCATCAACGGTCTGTCGGTTGACGGCTGTCCGGCTCAGCGAAAGTTCCTCAAGGCGCCAATTGATCAATGTCTCAGGCGTGAGTAGCGGCTCCGGGCCAGATGTGCGCGAGATTCGCGACAAGTCCAGGGTCTTGATGTGGCTGAAGTAGCCAAGATACTGCGGAAGGATATCCGGGGTCAGGCGGCCTTGTACGCCGGAAATGTTGATCGCCTCCAACGTGTGCGATTGAGCCACGACGGTTGACAGTAACAAGTCCAGATCGTGCACAGATAGGCCACAATTGCCCAATTCGAGTGCCCGCATATGGCTTCCTCGCTGCGAGGCCGCATCGACAAGATAGTCCAAGTCGGAATCTCCCAGTTTGATGCCATTGAGAACAACCCAGTCCACGCTCGTCAGCTCTCGGCGACAGATCGGGAAGATCGCCTCTGGAATACCACAGCCGGGGTCATGGCTTTCACTATCAGACTTGGGGACGCGGCTCAGTGTATAGGAAAAGTCAAGACGTCGGAGCCATTTGCTCTTCAGTGTCAAGGCCCGAACTTCTTGAGATAGAACAGATAGGTTCTCTTGCCCGGGGATGTTAATTGTTGCACCAGCACGACTCAGAAGAACATCCTTGTCTGTCCCGTGCGTGTCGCGCAGCCCCTGGAGGGCGTCCAAGCTCACTCCGCTGAATGAAATCGCACGGAAGGACTCGTTGTAGCGCAAGGCCCGCAGAACGGCGATCAATTCCAAAGCCGTATACTTCCGCCGTGCTGAAGGAGGCAACAGCTTGAAACAGGGAGCATCGTCACATTGCATGTCAATCGTGTATCGGATGTTAGACGTATCAATGTCGTAACTGGCAGAATAAGCGACCAAGGTTCGGTCGAAGCAACCGAAATCTTCGTCAAGGTCGACCGGGGGGAAATTGTTCTCATTGTCGAGGTCTCGGGGAACGATGAAGTCATACGGCTGCTTGAGCCATAATGGTCGCAAGAATTCCGTCTGCTGTCTGATCCAGAAGGCAACCTCCAAAGAATGAACGGATGCAAGGAACACGGAGAATGGTTTGCGAAGGGGTAATCGAAATGTCAGATGTAAGCTATCGTCCCCCCACTCCATCGACAGGCAGGTCAAATTCATGAGCCCAAAGGACGTTGCAGCGTCTAAGTCGCTCAACGATACCGCAGAGCTGCGACTGGAGATTTTGTGTAGGGGAATCAAGTGGAGCTTGTGAGAACCCAGAGCAAGGTAACAGCCGGTCGGTGAGAGTTTGGTGAGATCCTCCGACGAAGCCCGCGTCGGAGATTTGCTGGATGCCATCTGGATGACTCGGAACATGCGAAACGTCTCGGGGTCGTAGTCCCGTTCGTAGTCCAGCATTCGCACCACACAGTCCACCGTCTTTCGGTCAAATGGTAAGGGGTCTGCTCCTCGGATTAGCTCCGCCGCGGAGCGAATGCCCACCATCCATAGGTTGAGTTCCTGGAAATCAGGTGTCTGCATCTGGATAAAGGTAGCTTTCTGTGCTCGCTCGTCGACATAAGCGACCTCCACTGTGGACGACGGCCGACCATCGTCCAACATGTAAACTGCAATAATACTGTTCAAGGCAATTCCGGAAGAGTTATCGCCAGGACCCGCCAGCTGTGGGTCCTGCATCGAGCTGATGGAGACGACGGACTGACGATTGCTTGCCAGGGACCGGGAATAAGACGACGGGATCGATGGAAACATGTCGGCCGCTTTGCTCTGATTCTTGAACCGGACCAGGTGAGTATCGGTCAGAACCAAGTAGTGACTCTTCTTTCGCCACATGCCGCCTGTAATCTGAATCTCGCCATGGTGCAAGATAATGGAACCGATACCTTGTCGGATGTCGGGGTTGTCTTCGTCCAGGGAGCTGGCTTTGGAGCGGCCAAGGGATCGGTCGTCATCTTCCAACGAATGAAGGGACCGCAGCGAACCAAAAACCGAGGCCCGTCTCTTCTGCATCGACTTGCGTCGAGAGCGCGGGCCCTCGAGGGCTGGCGGGGGCATCATGCATGTTGTCGATTCCGAATCGGCGGTGCCGGGACGACGCAGGGTGTAGCTGGTGCCGGCTCTTGGCGGACTGGGGTTCCGGACCCCAAAGAAGCCAGAGTTGCGGCGTGATTTCTTTTTCGAGGCTTGAGCATCATCTGAGGGCGATCGCTGGTGCACTGCGGGGTCGGATAGGGAAGAGGTTGTGAAGGATGGGCTAAAGACGCTCAGGCTTTTTCTCCGCTCTTTCTTCCCCAGAAGGTCGGCCATGACGGGGTTTTAGGGGAAGGATGAGGGCGGAGAAAAGGGGTGAAGAGAGGGTGGGAAGAAGCGCTCGAAATGCGAAAGGAGGGAGGGATGGAGGAAGCTAGCTAGCTAGCTAGCTGCAGCAATCACGGGCAGTAAGCGGCAGCAGTGGTACGATGGTGGTGGTGGTAAGATTGATTTTTTTTTTTTTTTTAAAGAAAGGATATCACATTGAGAAGCCGAAAATGGGGTCTCACTAGAGAGGTGCCAAAAGCGAAAGGAAGGCGACTGTTAGCATGAATCATGGCCGATGGCGATAAGAGGGAAATTTTGAAGGGGGGGAGGGGGGGGTGGAAAGGAAGGAGAGTGGAGAGAGGGAGGAGTAGAATAGTATGGGCTTGGGGCAGAGGAGATTGGAGCAAGACACAGGCAGGAGTGATTGAAACCCCAGCGGTTGACTAGTGACTTAGAGAGGTGGAGCTGGGCGCGGATGCACCAAATGAGGAGCCACGGGCAGGGGGGAAGGAGGGGGAACAAGGCAGGAGGAGAGAAGGGAAGGGAAGGGAAGGAGAAAATAGAAATAAAAATAAAAAGAGGTGGAACATACAGCAGCCATCAAGGCAGTTGGAATTGCGAAATCGGTTTAAGTTGACTGAGGTAGTCCAAGGTAAGACTCGATACCAGATGGAGTCAAAGAGAGGGAATCGAATGTTGACCGTCGCAACAAACGTAATGACAGCAATTGCAGAAGACAACTCGACTTGAAGCAAGGAAATCAGATTGTGTCCAAACGGATTGATATAGAAACAGATAGCAGAAGAAGAGAATGTGTGGAGGAGGTCAAAACAAGGACCAGCAAAGCAAACCCCAGACCCGTGGATAGAAGTCCGGAGGCTGTCAGTTGGTTTAAATGGGGATTGGGTTGGGGGATGGGAAGATCGGAGTGGACGGCGATCTACTTAGAGTATAACTTGATAGACGTGTAGATCCAGCCGGGAGATGAGGTCGTCGTCACCGTCATGATTTCTCATACAGTACTCCGACAACCTGTCAAATCCCCAGATGGTCGGACGCGGAAGGTGTTTGTCAATCCCACGAGGGAGAAGAGAAAGAGAGAGCGAGACACAAGCAAAAGAAGACGAAGACGAAGAAGAAGAAAAAGAGCTCACCAATCTGTGTAATAAGAGTTTTGCTAACTAGTGTCTGGTCTGGGTGAGTGGCGATTCACTTGGAGGATGGAGCTGGGAGGGCCACGAGCAACGGTGACAATGGCAATCAATGGCAATGACAATTGAAGGCGTCCGGAGTAGGCAAGCAAGCGATGCAAACAGCAGGTCAGGTACTCAGGTACTCCGGTACAGCTTCAAAGCGATTGTGCAATTGTTGACCACTGGAAAATTAGCAATAACGTTCCAGTTCCGGTGTTCCTGACAGGGACACTCCGGAGAATATCAATTATTGGATCCGGATCCAGGCAAATGATGTCAGTGACGAGTGTCTTTCCCGCAAACGATCGTCCAACAAACCCTGCCAACCCCCTGCGAACAGCATCCACCATGTAAATGTGACGAGGGAAGGAAACTCAAATCCAATGGTTGAGTGGAATTGAAGTCATTGTATCAGTCGAAGTGAGGGGAAATCAGGGGGGGTAGTCATATCGTAACAACGAGGATGGGGAAAACGAGGATATGTGAGGGAGAACCAAAACAGACTGACTCGGGGGACGGAAAAGGTTCCTATGACTTTGCGTACTGTAACTTATTCAGGCGTCTTCTGTTGTTCAATGTCACCTAACAATTGTCCGGGCATCACTTCCACAATACCTGACCAGCTAGACCAACAATAGATAGCAAATCGGACCGCCTCACCCGCCCAACTGGCTCCGTGTTCATCTCGGGTTGCCTTCTTCCAGCCGAGATATCCACCGAGTAGTCACCTTCGCCGCTCGCTGAATGAAGGGAATACAAATCCGGTACTCTCCCCGACCGTAGAGATCCTCTTACATGCTCAATCGTAGCTCTCTCCCTCTCTTGCTCTTGCTCTTTTGTTCTTCCCTTTCCCCCTCCCCCCTTTATCATAGTCCCACTCAGCACCCCCAGATACTTCAGAAGCGTCCAGGCAATCAACGGTGGACTCAGTGCAAAGTGGAAACGCGTTCGAGAAGCCGATCTCCAGCCGCGTCCTTGGCGCGACGTCGGACCGGCTGTCGAGCTAGAACAGGAGAAGAAGCTCCACTTCGCCCCAGTGGCCTGCATCATCTCGCCCGGCCGCACCGCGGCTCTTAGACTAAGTCGAACTAGTCGACTGGACTATGCCGGTCTAGGGTCGGAGCTGGTGCCCACGGTCTGGATCGTAGCTATTCTGGCAGGCATGGCATGCCAACAGAAAAGAAGTCGAGGGCCGCGCGAGGACAAGAGATCAAAACGATGTTCTAGCCAGGTCGGTTGGGATTTTATTTTGGATGTTGAGGACTGTTTGACATGTGTCTTGTATTTTCACTGCCTCGTTTGGTCCTTTTTCCCCCTCTGTTCTTGTCCATCACTGAGGCTTGGCTAAGGGGGGCCGAGAAAAAGAAAAAAAGCGCAACCCAAAAAACAAGCAAAGATGATGGTGCAGGGAGGCCCAGAACCCTTTTCCAGCGAACGCCCGTTCCAATGGATCGTATTTACCCCTGAATCGGGCTCCTCTCATTTTAACTCGCGATCTACTCCGTACAATGTATACCACAGGCCGGCTCGCGTACCCGATGATCCTCCCGGCTCTCCACAATGGCAGGTCATACCGGTCAGCCCTTCGGTCTCGGTGGTTTGCTTGCTTACCCATCACCGTGGTTGCTCTAGTTCGCCATCGGCTGGACCCTTGGTGGCTGAGCGATCCCGGCGCTGGCTTGGGTAGCGTGTTCCAGGTTGGGGTGAAGTGCGTTTCGCGAGAACCCTTCAAACACGGGAGTTGCGGTATAGTGGAGCATGGATGGAAATTGCCGACAGAGAACGAATCTAGAAGAGTGGCTATGCTGTGGGTGGAAAGTCAGTCTAGTTGGTCGATTCTATCTTCTTTCTGGCTACTGTCGCGGTCGCGGTCGCGGTCGCTGCAAATGGATCCGGCGCTGCCCGCCTCGCCCCGGGTATAGTCGACGAGGACAACATACCAACCTAGTCGAGACCCTTGGCGGCTCTCTCGGCCTGAAGCTTCTCCGCCCGTTTCACCTTGCGCACGAACTTGATGTACTCATCCACCCGTTTCTCGGCCCAGATATAACCACCGAGCGTCATGGCCCCGATTTGCAGGAAGACTTTGAATTGCGGCGTCAGTCCGCGATAGACGCGAGAGGCCGGAGACAGCCAGTCTGAGAAGCCCTCCAGCGGACGATGGAACAGTCGAGAACGGATGTACTCTTTGGAGAATGGCGACTGTTTCGGGCGCGGGGAGTTGGGGGGTTGCGAGGGGACTGGTGCGGACGATGCGGGGGAGAATTTGAAGGGATGTGGGAGAATCATGATCATGTGTGCGATGATTGAGACGGAGCCGAACTATGCTCTGGGTCAACAGCTTGGAAGAGCAGCCCGGGGAAGATATCAATCATACTCGGAATGCACCTGTAAGAAACCCCCGAACGGCCTCGGAGGTGATGTGCTCGGGCGGTTCAACTTCATGCCTCTGCCAGGAGGGGGGTGGCATATTGGCGGGAGTGTATCGGGAGTATGCTGATCCAGCGAAGATAAAAGCTATCAATGCAGAAAGTAGATCCAGTAGGTTCGATCAATTACTATGGGTGGAAGAAAGACAGCACAAGGTGTGAATGCGACAACTTGAACTCGTTCATGCAGGACAAAAAGAAATTGAAGGGCCATCATATGACGCAGTGAATCCCGGGGAGAGGGGAAAGCATATCCCGCCGCGGAAATACTGAACTTCCGACTGGAATGCGGGCGGGATTTGTTCCGCCCCGCGAAATTCTGAGTCAAATTGGAGATTGTGAGTAGGTACTCGAATCACCGCCCCTCGATTTCAATCCACTCCACCTCACCGAATTCACTGCCCTCAGGTTGAATCCAGGATTCAGCCCAGCCAACCTACCAATTGACAATCGCATCCATCCTCCAAGAAATATCTCAACTTCAACCCCCCTTTGAAATACAAAAAGAGAAAAGAAACAGGAAAAGGTTCATACGAACCCCCCGATCACTTGACAATGTCTCTCCCCGCCCGCACCGCATCCATCTCCCGCAACACCAACGAGACCAAGATCCAGGTCTCGCTCTCCCTGGACGGCGGCATCCTGCCCCCCTACGAACCCAGCCAACACTTCCCCGCCCCGACCGACCCCGAGGAGGCCGAAGCCGCGAAGAAAGGCATTGTCCCGCCCAAGGATGCCGCCCACGCCACCCAGTTCACCCCGACGCAGCAGATCACCGTGAGCACGGGCATTGGGTTCTTGGATCACATGCTGCATGCGCTGGCGAAGCACTCGGGCTGGAGTTTGGCTGTCCGCGCCAAGGGAGATCTATACAGTACGTTTCTTACCGATGTGGTCCTTGAAAAGAACTGATGAACTGACGGTCTTTTTTTCTGCGTGATAATAGTCGACGACCACCACACCACCGAAGACACTTTCCTCGCCGTGGGATCGGCATTCACCGAGGCTCTGGGCGCGCGACAGTCTCTCGCGCGGTTCGGCCGCGGGGACGCTCCGCTGGACGAGGCGCTGTCGTGGGCCGTGATCGACCTGTCCAGCCGGCCGTGGGCCGTCATCAACCTGGGATTCCGTCGAGAGAAGATCGGGGATCTGAGCACGGAGATGATCACCCACGGTCTGCAGAGTTTCGCCCAGGCGGCCGGCGTGACGCTGCACGTGGGGTGCACCTATGGCGACAACGACCACCACCGGGCGGAGAGTGCGTTCAAGGCGCTGGCCGTGGCGATCCGGGCGGCGTGCACGAGACGGGTTGCAGGCGAGGTCGGCGCGGGCGATGTAGTGAGTACCAAGGGAGTTTTGTAGACGCCCCGTTGGAATGCGAGTTGTTCAAAAATGATAGACTAAAGATATGCATGCCGTGTCATATTGTTGTTACACCAGGGAGATAGACCTTCTAATACTATCCTTGACTCCCCCTCCCAACCAACCCACAACCTCATTAACTCTCAAAGACATCGGAACAACACCTCGCCCCACTCCCTCTCACATACAGTCACCACCATCCAAACCTCCCTCCCCACAAAGTACACCCCCCTTCTCCCCAGACTCCAAGACCCTCACCTCAGATCCCCAGAGCCTCAACAGCCCGACTCCAATAAGCCTTCCGATCATCATTAGCAGCCGTCCCCACGCAGCCGGTAATGAACGCCTCCCAGCCCGCCTGAGTGCCCTGCTGTAGCTGGCCACGCACACTGGAAGTACACTGGGTGGTCAGGAACCACGCCCCGGACCCAAAGTCATACTCCGGGACCGCGCGCAGCAGATCCAACGTGCCCGCCGGATCGCCGTTGACGGCCTTGAGCGAGTCGGCGAGGGCGGGGATCGACGCCGCGTACTTGGCGTTGAAGGCGGGAGACTGCATGTTTCGAGCTATACGTTCATCAATATACATTCCACCTTCCCCCCCCAAAAAAAGCTGGAAGCACTCACTGCCCTGGCCCGCAACACCCGGGTAATGATTTTTGTTGTACTTGAAATCCCCACTCTCGAACGCCATCAGGCCGATCACCGCGGCCTGCTCGGCTTTATTGGTCACCCCATAGGTTTGGAAGGATTTAGAGATGCTGGAGGCTGCCGTGTCGGAGGTCGCACACTCGCCGGCGGCCGGGGCGTTGGCGCAGGTGTTGGACGTGGGGGCAATGGTTTGGATCTGCTCGCTGGTGATTGCCGTCGAATCACGAGTGCACAGCTGGCCCTGGCCCGTGGGGGCGGCGTGAATCAAGAGAGGGGAGAGGAGAAGGATGCTGGTGAGGGTAAAGGTCTTCATCGTGGATGGTTTGGAGGTATGTATGTATGTAGCTGAAAAGCAACCAAGAAAGTAGGATTAGAGTAATGGGTAAGTAGTATAGAACGGAACTCCAAATCGTTCCCAAGTATGCTGAATGAATGTCAATAGAGAATCAATTCCCAACAGACAAAGAGGAAAATCAAGGGGCTTAAGAATCTCTCAGAAATCTACCTATATCACCTCCCTCGAGCGCCCAGACTATGCCTGGCCATGATTGACATTCCTTCAGGATGAAGACCCCTCAGAAATATGTGGAGCAGACCCTCGTACTCTGTCTATCTTCCCCGCCAACCACGCCCTGAAGATCAATTCAGCCCAACACCCTGTGCGGCTGTGTGTCATCCTTCAACACCCACTCCCAGCTTGCGCCTCATGATTGGACTCGACCCTGAGGCGAAGTGAAATCAAGTGGGAACCTTCCTCCGTCTATAAATTGTTTTCAGTCGGCAGTGCGCTTATTCCACCCTGCGCCACGCTCATTGGTCCATGCTGAATGGGCCAAGTGTTTCACCGGTCCGTGACTGATCTCAACCCTCGTATATACCCAACTAACTGGACTGATTCACACTCTTAACTACCGCACATATAACCTCTAAATTTACTCCGACAGGGCTAAAAATGCGGATCTTCAAAGTAGGATGGCAAGCCACCACAGGATTTCATTCAGCGGTCCCAGCAGCACCAGGCATCTGTGACTGAAATTTCGAACAACTCTCTACCCAAAATCAATCGCAAGTCTATGGGTGGGGCAGGAAAAGAGTAGAAGGTGTAAAAGGGTAAACAGACAGTGAAGAATCGAAGGCAAAAGAAAGAGAAAAAAAAAAAAAAGGTGTAAGACATCCAAGAAAGAAAGCCAGATACAATACACGTGCGCTGCCTTGCAGAACGCCCGCGCATAGATCAAAGTATCTTGCCAAAAACATGTACAAGGAACCCAATGCTTGGACAGCATGTCGGTCAAAACTCATGTCCCCCTCCCGAACTCCGTACATGCACTTCAGAAACTGGACGAAATTCCCGACGAAATCGGGAGACATTAAAATGGTAGAGGAAAAGTAGGATGTCATCAAGTCCCAACGCGGAAAGACTGAAAAGGTATGCGTTGTAAGTCAGAGCAATTAATCACGACGACTGTAAAGTTCATAGGAAGTTTCCGTAACACCGTTCGCTTCTTCGTCTTCCTTGAAGCTGACCCGGCGAAGAAGAGTGGGCATCATACGACGCGACATTCTCGTCGGGGAGGGTAACCGAGATCCCGTCACGAAAGAAGGGATCTTTGCATAACGGTAGCGGTACTTCGAACCAAGTACCATAACCCGAACGTAGAGCCACCAGAGGGCGAACCCGACCACGGCAGCCAGAATGAAACCGAGAACGGTGAGGAACATCCAGTGCTGACCCATCCAGAAGATCAGACGGGCATCTTTGCCATGCCAGCTGTTACCCACATGGTGAGTGAAGAAACTCCATGAGTGCTTGTTGTATTCGTCCTTCATCAAGATGCGCACACGTGCCGACTCGCTTGGAAAGGTTTGCATGTATTCCTTCCAGATCACCGAGAGGAAGAGTGGGCCGGTGGAGTACATCACGGTGATATACGGTAGAAGCCAATGGCGATCATAAGACTGCAATAGCTCGATCACACGTAAGAAGAAGGGATGCTGTGGGACAGAACCCATAGCGTCATTGGAAATACCGGTGGGAACCGTGCGGCGCACCCAAGCAGGGTATGCGAGAAGAGGATCTAGGCGACGGTTGCATCCCTGCGAATCGGTCAATGACAGGGTTTCCAGCGACAGGGAATTATACGCACATCGTCAAGGTCAATGTAGGTGCCACCGTAGTGGGCCAGAACAAAGTATCTAATCGAGTCTGCCCGCTGAATCGGGTACTTGTAGCCATCAAAAGTCTCGAGGAACCAGGGGTATTCGTTGGCGATAAACTCGCGCGACTTCTCGTTCGTCCACAGCTGTTTCGAGCAAACTTGTGTTAGTCTCAGGCCTAAAATCCTCGACAATGGCAGGTGACATACAATGTACTCGTAGTCAGGGTGCAAGTCAATGCAGCTCTGCTGAGCTTCTCTCCACACCTCGGGGATCGTCTCGTTCTTGTAGGTCTGGTGAATGATTTTCGGGATGATTTGCGGCCGTTGTTCAATCAAACTGGAATTCGGCGAGGGGAGCTCGGCACGATGAATGGCGTCGGCGGAAGCATCTTCCACGAGCAGTGACAGAAGCGTGAAGACACTGCGCACCAAAAAGGTGACTATGAGGAGGTTGACAAGGAGGAAGATCAAGACACCGCGTCGCATGATGAGAGACGGAGTAGGGGGTCTGAAGGACGCCTCCTGTTGATGTGAGCTGGAACAATTGTCGAAACTGAGAAGCGCTGCAAGGATGCAGAATCAATTGATGCGAGTCTAGTGTGTCGTAACGTCGTGTTGACCGCGGCGGGAAGGAACGAAAGTGCCGCGAGACCGATATAGCCAGACTACACCACTACCAGATTTCCCCGCAGAGTAAACACAGCGGCGGAGAAAGCAGCGCAGTGCGGAGATAGACGAAAAACCTTATTGTCCTCGAAAACCAGACACCATGGACGTCGAGGTCAGATCGAGGAAATGCGATGCAATGCAATGGCAGTGGAGAGAGAGAGAGAGAGAGAGAGAGAGAGAGAGAGAGAGAGCAAAAAACGTTGAGATTGAAGGGAGGTCGAATTAAGGAATGGCGGCCGTGAGACTTCCTGGTAACGTTTCCCCCTTTTCTTTTTTGAGTTACCCTAAATGGAGACCGGTCTGATGGTTGAAAGGATAAATGCTCGCACAGGTAACTAAACAAGGCAAGGACTGGCGTAGGAGTGAAGAAAGGAAAGAGAATAGAGCAGTGACCACGGAGATGGAAGGTAATGATAGATAAAGTAGTGATTATTATTAGGTTCCCGTAGTGAACCAAGCCCCCAGTAAAGACGCTGGGATTGGGGAGGGGGGGGGGGGGGGGGATAAATTTGTTTGGGGAAAAAAGTGACGAAAAGAGGAGGGAAGAGAAGGAATTGATTGAATAGGTATGGAGGGAGGGGATTGATTTAACCAGGTGGACAAATAACAAGAAAGGAGTGCGTAATTTACTGGTCCATCAACTGGGACAAAAAAGAAGGACTATGTATGTGATAGGCAGAGGGCGAAAAGAAAGCTAGGCGAGCCAAAGGAACGGACGGTGCCTTAGCAACAAAGCAGTAAGAAATGATATTTAAGGTAGAGAGTGTGGCGGGAAAAAGACAATGGATTAACTAGTTAAGAGAGAAGGGATCCTTTTGAGGGGGGGAAGAAACGGAGGTTGTTGAGGAGAAGACGGAGAAAGCGAGCGGAAGAGAGAGAGAGCGCGAAGCGTCAACAACGACCCATGGTTTAACTGGGTCTCACTGGAGAAGGGGGAGGTCCAAACAGACATCCGTCACTCAAACCAGGGGATGAATGGGTGTGTGAAAGGGGAGGAGGGGAGGGGGCCTAACAGTGGGGAAAGGAAGAGAGAGAGAGAGAGAGAGAGAGCACTGAGAGTGGACAGTGGATCCTGGACCCATCATAGAATCCTTTTTTTTCTTTTTCCACCGCCTGTTGTATGGGGAAAGGTTTGCGTTGCTGCCAGTGCTAAGCCTCCGCCACTAAATCATTTTCAGCGAAGTCGGGTTCCTCCCCTACTAAATTGGGATTAGACTTAAGAGGCAACTTTAGTCGGTGGTACTAGTACTAGACGGTTCTTAGGCTAGGAACCGTACTCGTTTAGTGGGAAGTTCGTTCTCTTCTCCCTTGGGTCCTCGGGGCAATGTTGAATCCCGCCTGCTGCTTTGCCGCTGGGCGGCTGCTTGAGCTGCTGCATACATCATCGCCTACTCCGTGACTTACATTATTGCACTGCCTACAGACATGACGGTTGTCCGTCAAGTGTCACTTCCCCCAATGACCAATCACTCCAAGTCAGGCTCATTCCTTGAGACGAACAGGACGCGTTGCCACCACTTGGCAGGTGGCTGTACAGATCCTCGAGACAAACTCGCTCATTCTGATCCTCAAAAAGTCAACACGTTGAATAACGTTCGAGAGTTTAGTCCAATGCGCTAATCATTTCCAGCCTCGCGGTGGTGGAAAAGCGTGGTGCCAGAAGTCCACTCGTTGATTGGTGCCGCGGAAATAGGCCCCAAAAAGCACAGCCATCACGGCTCGGCCAAATGATATCCCACCGCGGCGTTGGCAACCACAGAGGGAGGGAGAAAACTCTTCCATTTTGGTACAGTGGACTACAGTACCAGTAAGGTCAATAATAATAACAATTGAGATTGCATCCAGAGGTTAGTCGAACTGCTAGCTGAGAGCGAAAATATCACTGGGTTCTCAGTAAGTTAAGATTAACTGTGGCTCCGCCAAATCCATCCGAGGACCGATAATTACGCGGACCTCGAAAGGTGCAAACATCCTACCCAAAAGAAACTCACACAAAATGCCCATGGAAATGAAAGATAAGTGTTTCCCGGGCATTGAAATGAGCTGTGCTGTAGCCAATCCTTGTAAAATCATGATTGACCCTAGGAGGTGATATTAGCGGGAAACCATAGGTATCCCCTGCTCGAGCGTCAATTGTTGAATTATTGTTGGGGAGGAAACCGAATGATCTGATCATGTCTATACTCCGTACGTTAGGTAGCCTTGGACAGTATCTGCAAGTCAGAGAGTTTGGGTGAGCAATAGTTAGTACAGATTGAGGAAGCCCTAAGCCAAGAGCTAGTCTAGTCTATTGATGAATCGATCTCAATTCTGATCATTATTATTGCGCCCACCTTCGAATGCTTGTCAATAGTCTGGAGAGCTTCGTAGTTAGGTATTTGGCAGTCAAGCCAGTTTCCCGCTGACTAAGATCACGACCTTTTCGGTCTTGTCTTAACTTCTCAATCCCTGATAAGTTCCTTACTTGGCAGATTTCAGTTCAAAGCTGCGTGTGTCAGGTCAGCATGCGGGACTGCAGTTGATCTCGGATTTCCCAATGCTCATTGCCCCGGAGCATGTTCCAAGGATTTAAGTTTGGGAACGGAGGTAAAACACCCCCAATGCCCGGGTTGCGCATGCAGGCCTGCTGCATAAAGAAGCCGACAGATAGAACCAATTTACTCTTCCAATGCGATTGGCCGGTGTCTCATACTGTACTCATGCAAGTCCAGACAACTTCACTTCCTCCGACCTCGATCAGTGTGCAGGCGACAAGCACCTTGTGATGACAAGATCCTCGACATGAAAGATAGTACTACCAGCACGGATCCTATCACATGGTGACATCGCAACAAATGAGAGGAATCGAAGATAAGAAGCGGGGCATAAACAACAACAGCAGCAGCAGCAGCAGCAGCAGCAGCAGCAGGACCCTCTAGGCAGAAGGAAAACCAGGCCAGCCGATTCCAAGGTCGACGGTGGCTTGCCACAATACGGAGTACGGAGTACGGAGAGTACTGGTTCCAGGATTCCCAGCCACAATGAATGTGTGGCACTACATACATCATCGTCTCCGTGCACGACCTTTCGTCCACAAGCTGAGCTCGTTAAGTATTCCAAGGCCAGCAAACCACCGAACCAAGCTATGCATTTACGAGTACGATTCCCGGCGACCGGGCGACTTTCCCGCCGACTCGCCGACCGACTCGCTGGATTCTGGAATGGGTGGGACTCCGACTAGTGAACTGCTTCCTCCGGGCTCCACCAACCTGTGCGTGAGATTTGACAGATGGAGATTTGGGATATCAAATCGAGAGATTAGTCGAGTCGAGCTGAGTCGAATCGGATGGGCATCGAATCTGCCGAGTACCATAGTACAGGAGGATGTATGTATCCGGGTTAGCAGCTGACCCTCCACTCATAGAGACGACCTCTGGAAAATAGTGACACCTGATCATTTTGCCACTAGGGGGGACAAAATCTACTCGTCAATAGGGACAAAAAAGTCATCCCCAGATTTGAACCAACCTTGGCTCACTCCTTGCTACAAAGTAGACGACCCTCGACAAACCCATTTCTAAACACCGACCGAGAAAAGCAAGCGAAATCGCCCCGGTCCACTCTTCCTTCAATGGCTGCCCCGTCGACCCACGGCTTGTCAAGGTTCCATGCTTTAAGTCAGATCCTTTCGTCCTACTCGCCGATTAGACTGTCAGACGCGTGGACAAGCAGATGGTGCCGTGGTGGATGTTGAGCTAGCCCAGCTATTATCGGGGCTTGTTTCACCTTTTCCCCTTCCAACTTTCCAAGGACATTTTCTCCGGTCGCCGGGCGGTGGATTCTCTGGCCGACCGCATTTGTGTCCAAGACGGTACCTTCGTACTCGTACACTGCCTGAGCAGGAATGCCAAGGGGTTCGTTCCTACTGTACTGTACAGAACACATGGACACGATCCAGGCCTCGCCCCCGAGATTCGAAATCTTGGCTTCATATGCAACAGAAATGAAACATTCACCCCCTTGACTTAGTCTCTTTATACACGGAAGTTTCCCTCCTCCCTGGACCCTGCCCCTTGCACAAGAAGCAGCGACGATCAATTCTCCTACTCTACAAGTAGTTTTGGAACATCGCACGCACATCGCAGTTTAATCTAGGTACTGTACCCGATTAACTCAATTCTCATCTCTGGACAATAAAGCTCTGCCTGAGGCAGGAGGTTAGTTACTACAAGTAGTTATACAGCCCAGTACTTAAACGTCAGTCGGTCTCTCCCAACAACCCCGCATTCGTGTTTGGCCACAAATGACGATAGCATTATCGACCCCCACACCCCCCTCCCCTCCCAAACTACATAATTGACTTGCTCCCTCGGTTGTCGCCGTGGGAAACCCGGACGCCCCTTATGAAATTTGGATGCTATGCCGTAGTGACGGACTAACCAGTGCAAGGGTGGTTGGTAATCAACAAGTTTAGCGAATGATGATCACTACGTGGGCCAAGGAAGAAGGCTGGCTACGTTGGGATTGGAACCCTGACCGATTCTCGTGAAAGACCCATTGTTGTAGAGACCGGTGTGGTGGCACATGGATGGAAGATGCGATCGGAGAGGAGAGATCCGAGCGCAAGCCTCAGAGTCGACTGACTTTATTACTGTGTACTGTACATTGTATGAGTAGGTCGTCGGCGGCTAAGCCCACCACCATCGCTCAGGCTCCTCCCCGATCATGCGGAGATTTTCTACCCCTGGCATTGGGGATCTACAGTACACGTGGGCAGGCCAGGCCGTTCAGGTTCTGACCCTGCCATGCACATACAGTAGCATCATTTACCCTCCCCC